CTCTGTCTCGGTCTTTCGGGTGAGTGCACATACCTTATAGCAAACCCCCCCCCCAAAAAAAAGAAAATGTGTTTGAAAAATAGTAGAAACAAAGGATAATACTAAGTGTATTTCTTCTTTTTCCTGCTTTCCAAATATTGTATAGTTCTTTTTTTAAAGAATTATTTTATTTAACTTTATTTATTATTATTATTATCATTATTATTTTCCAGTTTGATCAGAGAGAGACAGAGAGAGAGGAAGTGAGAAAGCAAGCCACCAGGTCTGAGACTTGAACCATAGTTGGCCATGTGGGAATCCAGCACCCCTATCCACCATGCCACCTGCCGGCCCCTGATTCTTAATTTTTTTATATAAAGAGAATGTGTATTTATGTTTTCCTGCAGTTTTTGTTTCATGTATTTTAAACTGAACATATTTTTTTAAATTATAATGTTTTCTTTTTCTTTTTTCTTGCAACAGTTAACCTTGTGATCCAGTGTCTTGTGGAATCATGTGGGATGCTACCTGATAAACCAGGCTTCATTAATCATGCAGACAGGCTGTTTCTTCGATACAAATATCACAGGCTTCAGGGTTAAGATTGCTGTTATTCTGTCCTTGCTTTGGCACAAAAGCACACTGAGGGTTTTTGGTTGTTTTTTGTTTGTTTGTTTTTTTATTGCGGGTTTGCCTACAGGTAGATTAGATTAATTATTACTGTGTAATGCAAGTACAATTGGGGGAAAGCTTAGCTAGATTTATTTTTTTTAAAAAGGTGCTGCCTTTTTGAATTTCTAAGAAAACGCCTGTCAATCGTGATAGAACAGAGTTTTCCTCATATGAATGAGAGGAAGGGACTTTCACTTTCAAGTGGAATGGCCGTCACTATCAAGATCAGCTCATGGAAGGAGTAAAGAAAATATCTCAAAATGAGACGAACTGAAGTTTTTTTTATAACTTAAGTTGTGCTCTTGCAAGACTATATGGGAACTATTTTAAGAAAGCAGTGATTTCACTTGAACTTCAGTGCCCTCACTGTAGAGTTTAAAAGCCTTACTGTTGATTGCCCGTGGTGGACTTGATGGAGAAATTAAATATCTTACATTATGCTTTACAAAATACTGTATATGTTTCAGCAAGTTTGTAGATTGGGGAATGGGAGAAGACAAAAAAATTACATTTAAACTATGCATTTTTGCCAAGCCATATTGAGTTATTTTACTACTAGAGACATTAGGAACTAACTGTACAAAAGAACCAAGTTTAAAAGCATTTTGTGGGGTACATCATTTCTGTAATTGTATAATGTATTTCTTTGTGGTTTTAAGTGATAAAGACATTAAGTTAACAAACATAAGAAATGTATGCACTGTTTGAAATGTAAATTATTCTTAGAACACTTTTGATGGGAGTTGCATTGCCCTTTTAGTGCCTTAATTTGAGAGAAATATTTTACTGCCATGAGTAAATATAGAAATTTCAAAAAACTTATTTTCAAAAAATTATGTGTGTCAGTGGGTTTTTCATTGATGATTGGTTTAATTTAATGTATTTAGATATTTGTTGGACTTCCATAAATTGAGTACAATCTTTGCATCAAACTACCTGCTATAATAATGAATGACTTTATAAAACTATCTGCAAAAAATGTAGGTTACACCAATATAAAAAGAAAATGATGGCAATATATCCGTGATGTTTTCCAGTTAACATAGGAATTACCAAATAAATACTCTTAAACTCTTGTTCACTAACAAGAGATGATTGGTATGGGCAGTATGATTTATTGTTTATTTTTTTAACCAAATACCTCCTCAGTAATTTATAATGGCTTTGCAGTAATGTGTATCAAATAAGAAGCACTGGAAAACTGATCGTCTCTAGGATGATATGCATGTTTCAAGTGGTATTGAAAGACGCACTGATGGATATGTAATAATAAACATATCTGTTATTAATATGCTAATGACTCTGTGCTCATTTAATGAGAAATAAAAGTAATTTATGGATGGCTATCTTCAATGATGACTGCTATGGTGTTTTCTCATGGCTAACATGAATAGAAAATATACTCCAAATTAGTCTCTGATTGTATGCCAATGCTTGTTAAATTCCATGACTAGATTAAAGAGTAATGAAATGAAAAGTTGGCTATTGTCTCTTGGGAAACAGTTTCCCATGGTCTCCTGCCTTTTGCACATCTTGTGAGCAGAGGCTCAGAAAACCTTTATTCTGGACTGTCATGTCCAAGGATATTTGTATAGTGAAGAGCCTTGGAAAACAGTGTCTCCTTCCAGGGTTAAATGATTATTAAAAATTTGGTTTTCCTAAACCCAAGGTTTTTCACCTTACCCTGTGTGTTCAATGTCCACCTAGGCTATTCAGCACCACCCACTTGGGACTTGGGGAGCAAGGGGAACTGACAGGACCACAAATCTCACACTTCCCGCTCTGCTGTGAATAATAAAGTAGATTGATTCTGACCAAGGAGACTATGTCTTTTTACCGTGATTCATGTAACTCTGACAGGTTAACTTGTAGCTTGCAAATAGGGAGCATCTTAGATCACTTACAGTTCCTGACAATATACTTAGTACCTTCTCAAAACCATCACCCTTACC